TCTCCCCCCTCTCCTAGCTGATTATTCCACATTTTCGCTACACACTAGAAATAAATGTTCTGGCCAGGAAGCAGCTCATTGGACCCAAAGGCCTCTTTGATCAAGTAAGCACCCAAGTCTGTCCTTTCTGTGACCATATTAACCTCTATTTCCAAGGCAGACGGAGGTATGTTGTCTCACAATGTTTGCATCAATACGCATTCATAAATGCTGCTTTTGGTGTATTTTTGCCTTGACTATTTAGCGTCTATCAGCTTTGCCCAGCCAGTGGCAATCTGCTCAGTTATCACTACTAACACTGTGGGGCGGTCCGCCCCCCCCCCCCTTTTCCAATAAACTTAATTGGAACTTGCTGTTAAGCCTGTTTTGCAGTAGATGGGAGAAATCATTTTATTGTTTTTCTGAAATGTAGTGGCTCATGGGAGTAAAAATGTAGCCTGTTGGTGGAACAAAGCTGGTACTGGCCTTTCTGCCCTAAGTAAGGAGTAGAAAAAAAAATCTTGCGTTTTAAAGATTTGTGGCAGGAAATGTAACCTTTACTGCTTTGTCCCCATTTGGTTAGGAAGGGTCTCTGTCCCTCATAGTTCTGATGTTGCCCATAGCTGTCTGAACAAACCAATACTGAAGTGGAAGATCCTACTAGAACAAAATATAGTAGTCATGTATAAGTTGTGTATGCAATGGTCAAAGTCTTTCCATGAAATGTACTCTTGCACTGGGCTCTCCTATACCACCTAAGCTCCTGTTTAGACTTGATAAATGGGTTTTAACAATGTTGCCCTCTTGTATTCTCTCTCCAGGCTATTGTGACTGGAAATGGAGGGGTTCCAGTACTGACAAAGGAGGCCATGAAAGAAGTGACCTATTGTAGCTTGTGTCTCCCTGATGACATAGTGATCAGAGGTATGAAGTCTATCCCAAACTACCTGTACAGAGATGATGGTATGAAGATCTGGTTAGCTGTCGAGAGGTAGATCTTCTATATTGCTGATTTTTGATAGATGGTGCTCTTAATGCTTACCCTAATTTCTGATTTGAGATTTTTCATTTTAGTTTTGTTTCCAATATTGTTAATTACTACTATACAAGTGATTTGGTGGTCAGGGAGGATCCTGAACTTCAGGCCTGGGTGGCTGAGATCTTCAAGCAAGGATTCCTTCAAAATAAGTCTTCAGGTAGGTTTCTGCCCTGTTGGATATTGATAATAGAAGGGTCAACTAAATCTACCAAATGCCCCTGCTGAGGTACTGGCCCTGCATTGAACACATTTCCTGACCTTTCCAAAGGCACCTGAATCTAACTGCTTTTGAGTGTTGGCTAACACCTGTATTAAGCAGTGATGAGCCTTTTTCAAAGGTATGGCATGTTGTAAGGCTCCATGTTGTGTACATGGGATTTATACAGATGTGGCTTGCATGGTGGGGTTGCTGTTGGCATGGGTTTATACAGGCATGGGTGCAACATTTGTTCTCATAACGGGTTGATTAGTTCTGCCGCTACATGGTTGTGACTTTAATGCAGTATTAATGACATGCCTATGATGTAATTTTCTGTCGGTGTTCCTGTTTGAAAGGTTAAAGAATGTGTAAATCAAATTGTGCACATATGTAACTCTGAAATTGCAGAATGTGGGAGGAGCTAGAGTACATGAGGGCAAATTTTGGCAACAAACTGTAGTGAGTAAAACTCCATACCAAACTAAGCTAATGAGAGGATGGTACTTGGAGAACTAAGAAAGATGTCTGTGAGCTGTAGTAGAAGAAATGTCCTTTCATATAGCATAACTGCTAGGGTCTCCCAGGCAGCTGAGAAAGATGTACCAAGTTTCTACTCTTAAAGGTAACCTATCGTTGAGGAAGCTTGCATGCAAAAAAGTAGTATCTCCCCAGGTGAAGAAACGGTGACATTCAGAGGTTACATCTGTAGTCCAAAAAGCCCCAAACTAGCTAAAAGGGGAAAAACTAGATGCTGAGGTGTAGGAAGTGGGTTTAACACTATCTAAGGGGAGGAGAAGAGATACCAACTGTGGGACAGTGCCAGGTGTGCACACAGGAGTCCTGAAAAGAAGCTAGCATACCAGTAGCATAAAACTGACCCATGCAGTCTAAAGGTGGCCATACACTGTGCAAACCAGCTGACAGTCACACAGTGGGTGCTGCTGTTGGCACCAGTGCAGCCAGCATCCCTTGATCGGCTGAACAAAAGAGATGGTTGGAAGATCTTTGGACTAACAGAGCTGCCGGCTCTGGTCGGGTATTCTGACAACAGCCCTTTCTCTCTTCTACCCCCCCCAACAGGCTGAATTGGGGGGGGGAGATGGAATAATGGGTGGAAATAACTAGGAAATCTTTTCCAGAAACGGCAAAGCCAAGAGCCCCTGTACTTACTAGCTCGGGTCTGTTGCTCTATAAAAGCTTTAACTACAAGAAAGGGGTAGACTACACAAGTGGAAAAACACAAGCTATTGTAAAGCATGGAATTGTTCAGACTTGTGTACCATACAATCTTGAACAAAAATGGTATTGCAGAGAATGAGCCACACTTTATGGAAGAGTGGCAGAAGCAAGATTGTTGACTTGGGTATGCCAACATCATAAGGTGAGGCAATTGGAGAGCCTAATTTCTCTAAAATGGCTTACCTGGAAAAGTAACAATTTTATATTTAGGCTATGGAAAGAGGCCTGACCAGAAATTCTTTGAATAACTTTGTACATAAAACAAACAAAATGGGAGCTTTGTGCTAAGGAGAGGTATATTTGGATAGTCTCAAGCCAGACAATTCTGCATCATAACACCAATAAAGACATGTCAGAAGTGTATAATTCTAATGACACTCTAGCGTGTCAAGAGTTATGACAGTTGGTACCTTCTGAACAATCTGCCCTAGAAGCCAAACTAGTACTGCAGGAAAAGGAAACCATATTGAAATTTTCGTGTTTGGGAAATTCTTCCACTGAAAAGTAAGAAGCTGAACCACCTGCAACTTCAGTAGGAAAACCTCTGCACGATCCAAGAAGGGCACCCAAGTTAGATGCTTGTCTTATGTCTAGCATCACAGCATGAGCCAGTGTCGTGAAACGAACTACTGGTTCTGGAGAAGCAAAGGTGGATTAAACCTGCACATGGGAAGACATGTCCTTCTCAACCAGCTGAAAACTGGAATTGAAAGGTGTAGGCACCAATGGAATTGGCTTGCCTAAAGTTGGAAGGGGGGGATTATCTACCCAACAATGGCAGTACAGACAAGCAGTGGAGGCACTCTTATAGTGAAACTCATATTGAAATTTTGGTGTTTGGGAAATTCTTCCACTGAAAAGTAAGAAGCTGAACCACCTGCAACTTCAGTAGGAAAACCTCTGCAAGATCCAAGAAGGGCACCCAAGTTAGATGCTTGTCTTTATAGTATGTCTAGCATCACAGCATGAGCCAGTGTCGTGAAACGAACTACTGGTTCTGGAGAAGCAAAGGTGGATTAAACCTGCACATGGGAAGACATGTCCTTCTCAACCAGCTGAAAACTGGAATTGAAAGGTGTAGGCACCAATGGAATTGGCTTGCCTAAAGTTGGAAGGGGGGATTATCTACCCAACAATGGCAGTACAGACCAGCAGTGGAGGCACTCCTATAGTGAAACCCCTACATGGCCAGATAGAGCTACCATATTGCTTATCTGCAGATTTGTAAGTACTCTGGTAAAGGGACTAGAATGCAATTTTAAGAAGCCATCTCTGGTTATTGTATTGCATTGTGACACAGCACTTGCAGTATATGTGGACTCACGATTGGGCAGGTGATCCCAGTACTTGCAAATCCTAGAGGTGGTCGTCTTGTTATGAAAGGCAAATCTCAGAGGCATTCTCAAAGCAGCTGAATACATCTTGACAGCTTATGCTTGTCAAGAGTTAATTTTGTTTGTGGCAGCTACCTTTTTAGATCTTGGTAAGTTGTATGAGGACAATAGGTATCTAAAGAGTGAACATAATGCCAGAACTAAGCACATTGCCTATACCACTTACCTCCTGAGACCTTGTGGAAAATGTGATTGTGCCTGAGTACTGTGAAATGGATAAGATGGTGGATCTGACCAAGTCAAATTGAGGCCTGGTTCACACCTGGGCGTTTTAAAGCGCGTTCCTACGCTTTGTAAAACGCTCAACATTTGAAAACCAATGATTGCCCATGGGCATGGTTCCCACCTGGGCGTTTTACAGCGCGCGCTGCAAAATGCCCTACGCTTGCCCATGGGCATGGTTCCCACCTGGGCGTTTTACAGCACGCGCTGCAAAATGCCCTACGGCCAAAGTACAGGAGCTTCTTTGGGGCATATTTGCCGCGCGTATCCATTGGGATAAAGCCAGGTAGCCCTCGGAAACGCGTGTTGTGTTTTTACTGTGAATTGCGGTAAAAATGCGTGGTGTGACAAACGCGCATATTCGATATGCCTAGGTGTGAACGTGCAACCGCTGACAACATTGTATTTCTGTAAAGGTCCACAAATCTTCAGCACCAGACCCATGATGCTCTTACCTGACTCTAATATATGGGTTGGGGTAGTGGTTGGCCTATTTGTATGCCCACAGCAAAAGGATAAGCCACAGTGAGGGTAGCTGCTGTAATGTCAAGGCCTGTGTACCCTAAATGACTCGGGGAAAGGGGTCCCACTTTGTCGTTGAGAACAATTGTAAGCCTTTGTTGGAAGGGATCAACAATGGCAGTACAGACCAGCAGTGGAGGCACTCCTATAGTGAAACCCCTACATGGCCAGATAGAGCTACCATATTGCTTATCTGCAGATTTGTAAGTACTCTGGTAAAGGGACTAGAATGCAATTTTAAGAAGCCATCTCTGGTTATTGTATTGCATTGTGACACAGCACTTGCAGTATATGTGGACTCACGATTGGGCAGGTGATCCCAGTACTTGCAAATCCTAGAGGTGGTCGTCTTGTTATGAAAGGCAAATCTCAGAGGCATTCTCAAAGCAGCTGAATACATCTTGACAGCTTATGCTTGTCAAGAGTTAATTTGTTTGTGGCAGCTACCTTTTTTAGATCTTGGTAAGTTGTATGAGGACAATAGGTATCTAAAGAGTGAACATAATGCCAGAACTAAGCACATTGCCTATACCACTTACCTCCTGAGACCTTGTGGAAAATGTGATTGTGCCTGAGTACTGTGAAATGGATAAGATGGTGGATCTGACCAAGTCAAATTGAGGCCTGGTTCACACCTGGGCGTTTTACAGCGCGTTCCTACGCTCTGTAAAACGCTCAACATTTGAAAACCAATGATTGCCCATGGGCATGGTTCCCACCTGGGCGTTTTACAGCACGCGCTGCAAAATGCCCTACGGCCAAAGTACAGGAGCTTCTTTGGGGCATATTTGCCGCGCGTATCCATTGGGATAAAGCCAGGTAGCCCTCGGAAACGCGTGTTGTGTTTTTACTGTGAATTGCGGTAAAAATGCGTGGTGTGACAAACGCGCATATGCGATATGCCTAGGTGTGAACCCAGGTGTGTGTGTATGTAACCGCAACTGCTGACAACATTGTATTTCTGTAAAGGTCCACAAATCCTCAACACCAGACCCATGATGCTCTTAATCCATGCCTGACTCTAATATATGGGTTGGGGTAGTGGTTGGCCTATTTGTATGCCCACTGCAAAAGGATAAGCCACAGTGAGGGTAGCTGCTGTAATGTCAAGGCCTGTGTACCCTAAATGACTCGGGGAAAGGGGTCCCACTTTGTCGTTGAGAACAATTGTAAGCCTTTGTTGGAAGGGACCACGGGCCATGGAAACTGCATGTTGTGCTTGTAGACATAGTATGTTGGGTCAAAGCTGTTGACAGACTGAAGCATTGTGGCAAAAGGGTTGCTGAAAATTGTCCATAAGTTGGCATATGAGAAACAAAGCCGCTTGGTACACACTTTCTTCTACATGGAACAGCTGATTTCTCAAACCTCTCGTCACTCCTTGTATCTACAGTGATGAACCAAAACTGCACACATTATCAGAAGAACCTGAGCCATTTGTGTGCCATGAGGACAAATGTATGAAATGCTGTTCTAAAATGGTTTTTGTTCTTCTCCTGGGACAGAAGTTCCATCTGCATTGGAGTCTATAGCCTCTCTGATAAAGTATTTGACAATGGTGATCTTCACATGCTCTGCTCAGCATGCAGCTGTCAATAATGGCCAGGTGAGTGGCATGATGTATCGCTTTAACTGTTCATATTGATTATTGGTACTTGGCAAGCATTTAAAGCCTAACTCCAGTCAAAAGAATTGGCATGGCAGTTGGGGCATCTAGAATTTTTCAGTCAGCAATGAGGGGGCCATGTATACTTGCATGTGCCTTTTTTCTTTAAAGAGGCTTGCTGTACCAAGGTGGGGAGCTTGCTTATTTTTAGAATGCAGTGACTGTACTCTGAAAGCCAGCATTACTTGCACCTCTGCCTAAAAATCTGTCTCCTCTGCAGTATGACTTCTATTCTTGGATGCCCAATGGCCCCACCTCTATGCAGAGTCCTCCACCCACTTCTAAAGGTGCTACAATGCAAGCTATTCTGAAGACCCTGCCAGATATTAACACTACAGCTAATGGCATGGTCACTGTGTGGACACTCGGCAATGAGCCCTTGGACAGGGTAAGTAGAAGGGACCAGTGATGGGGAGGGGGAAGAAACGGAAGCATGGCTTTGTCATATGGATCACATAGAACCTTCAGTGTTTCAGGACACGAAATGCATTGCTAAAAATATATAGTGATTGCTGCTGAACATATTCAATGTATTGCACATCTCAAAGGCCTTTTTACTTTACAGAGACGTCTTGGAAACTACCCTAACATACGTTTTACAGAGCAGATGCCACAGCAGTTCATTAAGGACTTTCAGAATAAACTGGCTGAGATCTCCAAACACATCCAAAAGAGAAACAAGACCATGCATCTGCCCTATCCCTACCTGGACCCAAGTGCAATAGAGAATAGTGTCTCCATCTGATACTGCTGGTTTAAATGACTGACTCTGTCCTTATGTTTTTCTTGTCTGTCCACTTATGTGATTTGGTAAAGATCCTGACAATGTGATTGGACCCAAGTGCAATAGAGAATAGTGTCTCCATCTGATACTGCTGGTTTAAATGACTGACTCTGTCCTTATGTTTTTCTTGTCTGTCCACTTGTAATGTGATTTGGTAAAGATCCTGACAATGTGGCATGTTTAAGACCATTGTGAGATGTCTGAACACATGAAGAGATTACCTTGTATGATTAAAAAACCTTCAGTGAATGTTTTGTCTGGCATTTCAAATAGGGTTGCCACCTTTTCTTTCAGTGAAACCCGAACACTCTAGTGACGCACAGACATTTTTTTTGGGAGAATGATTCACAGGCTTATTTGTATATAAATAGCTCTACCCATTCATATGTAAATATCAGTCGAGACTTATTTCAGTGGGGGGCCAGTAGCCCCATCTTAATTTTGTTTGCCTCTGTCTGCCTGACATCTTTTGAATGAGGTGTCCGGGTTTTCATGGCAGCTGAAACCCGGACACAGCATTCAAAACCCGACTGTCCGGGTGAATTCTGGACAGGTGGCAACCCTAATTTCAAAGATGCTGCAGCAGCAATCTTGTATTTTCTAGATGGCTCCATGTGCTTTGTATAGAGATCCCATGCACACAGGTTGCCTGCATTAAACATGGGAGAAGGAATATGGAAAGTATAAACTTTTCATGCTTCCCAGATTCATTTTTTTTGGGCTTAGCTGCATAAAAGTAGGCTAAACTGTCTTAAAATAGACCCAATTCTTTGTCTACATGCAGGTAGATTCGGGGCTTGATTTAAGAGCATAATGTCCCTGGTGCTAAGGATTCTGGTGGGTCTTTTTATGGAAATGCATAAAATGACCTGGCCAGCCACTGACCCGTCTGCTCTACCGGAACGCAAACCCCCCACAGCACAGTGAGTCGGATGCGAATCTGCAGAGGCGGCTCTCATTAGGAGGCTGCTCGACCCTCGCTGAGGCCCCAGGTAGTAGCTGCTGGATACATAGTCGCCAACATAGCTTCTTGGGTTGCCACACTAACACATTTGACAAATGTATAGGACAACATGATGTGACACTGATTGTCCTGCTGAGTACTGCGACTCCTGTTTGGTTGAAGGCTTTACGAAGGTTAAAATGGGACATCCTAAAACATTTTAATGTGAAAATGGCTTCTAAGGAGACCCTCCTTTGCTGGAAGCTGGTGCTATATTTTTTGCTTTAAAAGTTTTTTAATTCCTCGTTTTTAGTAGGTCCCCAGAACCCCAGCCCTGTGGCAGGCCATGCCCCTTCCCTCTTTGATGGCAGAAGGAGCCTATGGTTCCCCTGCCATCAGTATTCTCCCCCGCCACCCGACAGTTGGAACGGAGGATTGCTTTTGGAACGGTGGCGGGGACAACCGCAGCTGACGGGTAAGTCTGGGGGGGACTGAGGTAGAAAAAAAGGGGCTAAGCTGTTTTTACCCGAATGCATTGAGGTAAACGCCCAAACCTTAATACTTTTTAATGTGCCTAAACCTCAATCAAATGCCATTGGCCATCTGAAAGCCTCGCAACTGACAGCTGGGCGCAGCCAGCCGTGATCAAGGCTGGCTCCTGTTACCCAAATTACTATTTTAGGTTATATAAGCGTTCACACTTACAAGTATAGTTCTGAGGATTCAATCATGAGATTTTTTAACTCAATACAACATAAATGTATTGGTATATAGTATTAAGACTTAAATACAGTGAACCAACAATCTTTTAACTACAAAAGAAAAGATTTACGCATGCAAAATACAGACATTGATATAACAGACAAACGATAGACACAAGTGGGGAAAGAGTACAGGCATATTAACCCATTAATCATCACATGAGGGCCCCATTCTGGTGGTCTAAAAGACTAACTTTTCCCTTCCTGCCCCTTGATTAATATAGCCCTGGTCTTCATAGAAATGTATTGCGAGACATCGATTGGTGGCCTCCCAATGCTTAATTTATTCAGATTGTAATTCTTGTATTGGTATTTGCTTTCAAATACCATTTGTTGGAACTCCCAACTCCTTTTTTTTTTTTCTATGCGAATCTCTTAAAATGAACAGGAAATTTCAGATGGGCAGGTGTCCTTAAGCTAACCCCAGGCCAAGAGTGCATCTAAACGGGGCGGACACTCTTGTTTACCATCTACAAGGAGACCTTTGACGATATTGGCCAGGGACACGAGAGTATGTAGCTATTGTTAGAATCAATGGTCTTGGCTACTGGGGTATTACCTGGGGATGCTGAACTGTCATTACACAATGACAACTTGGCGGAGCCAGCTGTGAGATCACAGCCGGCTCTGCCAAGTTGTCAGTGTAATGACAGTTCAGCATCCCCAGGTAATCTGGGGACACTGATCTGTCCTTGCAACTGGCCAGAGCCAGCCAGGAGATCACAGCTGGCTCCGCCCAGCTATCAGTTGCGAGGCATTGGCTGGCCGTTCAGTGCGCTTCATACCTCACCTCAGTGGAGCTGACGCATATGCCTTTGGCTCGACCAACTTCGGGAGCTGTACGTTAAGCCACATTAAGCTCCCCAAAAAACAAGCTTAGTCACTCATTCGCCTTGTGAGAAACTAAAATCCATGAAACTTCCAGGATAGGTTTGGGAAGCTGAGAACTTAGGTTGTGCTAAGTTTCAAGGCAATTGATTGAGGTTTTGGCACATTAAGCTCTTTTTACATTAAGCTAAATGTTTTAGAAAGGGAATAAAATTAGTTTAATGTGAATAACCTTTGGTATGTTTTATCAAATGACCCAAAATCTTCAGAATGTATTGGCATAGATAGCATCTTGTAATGCGTAAAGTTTGGCGGACATTGGTTAACATTTAGGTTGTTTTTTGTACATTAAGCCACATTCGGGAAGTTGTTCTTTCATCTTCAAGATTGGAGAGGAAAACCAACATAATTAAGTCAATGAGACCGAAATTGGTTCCTGGGAATTTCGCACACAGTAAATGGTTGATACATATGCAGAGTATGTGGTGTATCTGAAATCACTCTTTTTCATAAATGAGAACTGGTCATTAGATTGGAGATTCTTCACTTCTTCATTTGCTACAACGATGCAGTGAGGGGTGCCTTTGTCATAAACCTTCCACCTACAGGACAAGTAAAGTTATTGCAAGTTCCCTTCTGACCATCCTGATAAGTCACATTTACCATTACTGTGAAAGCGACAAACGCAGAACTATCGTTTTTCCATACTAAACATCACAGCATACCAATATGTGTACCCAAGAAACAAAAATAAAGAGAGGTGTACATAATACATGTAATTACCTGCTAGAAGACCAGGTGTTTAGACCCCCCTTCCTGGCCAGGCCATTTTTCAGTATTCAGCGCTGCGGTACTTTGACGTTTATTCTGTCATGCCACTCGGTACTGAAATTAATTTTATACCATTTTTTGGTGACACATAGAGCTTTTCTTTTGGTGATCTGGCCGTTTTTTTTTACTACGGCCGGCCCGAAGGTAGTTAAATAACAAGTCAGAGATATCTACCTACTGTCCAACTCTGAAAGGATAAGGCCACTGGATGAAATAGGGAAGTGTTATTAGGGTCAGGCTTATTGTCCCCATTGAGCTATGTTTTCCTCCCTTTCTCTCCCAATGACTTTGCCCATAAAGACAATCCAATGTCAAAACAAACAGGATTTGTTTCTTAAAGTTCACATCTAGACCCCTGTCAGGTTTTTATTGACCAATTGCCTGCCTGAATTCTCCTCACACCCTGTCCTAATGATGCTTATCACTGGTGAAAATTGCTGCCATGGAGACTAAACAGCAAAAACCTAAATGTTTTAACCCCTACCCACGCAAATTTAAACTGGTGTTCTTTTATACATGTGCATTTTCAAAATTACAGCAGAAGTCTTAGCCAGTCCACAGCAACCAACAAGAGTACCAATTATTCAGTAATTTTCATAGAATTACAGCTTAAACCATTTTTCTGTTGCAAAAACTGATCTGTCCTCTGTACTTTGGAGAAGGAAAGCAAATTTGATAGCATGTTGGCAAAATGATATCCTACTAAAAAACGAGTCTGCATTTATCTACAATAATTGAGATCAGTGGCAGCTGCAGCCTGGCCCTGGCGCTCCACCACTGACACCAAGCTGTAGAGAAACTACCAATCACAGCCCGGACAGGAGGAAGAGGGCCCTGGTGACCATCGACATTTCCATAAAAAAGCCATGGAAATCTTCAGCACAAGGCCCATAATTCTCTTAATCCGACCCTGCCACAATACGGAAGCAAATATGCATATCATGCACAACACACCTGTAGGCTTCTCTTTTCTGCTCCAGTTCTATTTTTCTATGGTGCTTGATGGCAGAATGAGTATTCCCAGTTAGTACAATACCTGAAATAGAACATACTTTTAGATGACTGCTATACAAATACAAATGCAATCCAATAGAAAATTCCCTAAGAAAAGTGGACACCAGATGCAGTCCCTGCCAACTAATACAGCCATTTGCACCCACTTTAATCCCCTGTAACATGCAATCACCAAATTGTTAGCTGACTGTACCCTACATTTTTTTGGGGAAAAACCTGTTTCCCTATGAAGTGTTATGAAACATTTATCACCCCAATTTTTTGGTAAAATATAAAAGATGGGGTCACGTCGGGTAAATAGACACCAAACATGTCACGCTTTGTAAACTTAAACCACTCATCAGTTTAGTGTTATCAGTAATTAATGGCCCTCAAATGATTGCTCT